CACTTCAATTTACACTTTCAAACGTATATTATTCAATAACAATTAAATCAATTAATTAAAACTATTAAAAATCTTATAATTTAGGATTTATTATATTATTTTGATAGATTCTTGTATTATATTCTATCTTTCCACATTTACTATAATATTAATTAGAAAATATTTCCTTATTAGAATTTTCCCCTTTTTAATATTTATTATATTAAATTTAAATATTAATCTTTTATTAAGATAATATATTAAAAGTCTTTTATTCAATAAGTACTTTTCCTTAATATAATTAAGTTTTTTTTATATATTAATATTTATTTAATATCTTATTTGCTATCCGAAATATATAATTCTTTGTATTTAAAAGTATATTTTTATAAGCTAATATCTCTGTACCTTTAATTAGAGCTAATATAGTTTCAAATATAAATATAGAAAAGCTTAATTAATAACGAGTTATTCGAGATTTAACTAATATTGATTAAGAAAAAGCTTTTGTTGAATTATAAGGGGTTTGAGAAATCCATTAATCTAAATTGAAAAAGGGGAGGGTAAGTATACGAATTTGAATATCTAATTTCGAGAGTATAGTTTTAGGATTAAATAGGATTAAACCTGTTCTTTAGAATTTTGATTTCATATTCTAAGAGTTGATTGATTTCTTATATACAGCTTTAAAAGCTATAAAGAATTCAACCTTCAAAATATAATTGATATATACCTTAATAAATTCATTAATTTGATCACCATATAAACGTTTTAAATTATTAAAACAGCCAATATCAAATGATTAAATTAAATAACTTAAATATAACAGTAAACATAAATATATAATATTATTCTCTTTACAATATATTTGAAAAGCTATTAATTTATAACTTTCATACCCATTTAGTACCAACATTCAATATTTGCCCTTTCTTTAATTCTTAATATACTTATTAAAGTGTTTCAATTATTCTAAACCCATCTTATTATTCATCCACTTATTAAATATAGATTTAATAATCCATTCTATAGGAAGATTTGTTTTAGTATACCAATTAAAAAGATAAACTTATCCTTAAACTACTAGAAATAAAGGAATAATTTCATTTTCTTTATTTCTACATATTATTATTATAACCCATTTTCGATTACCTAATTATACTATTTTGTTTTTATTATTTCATTCAATATTAATTACTACTGTTACTACACATATAATCCTTATTATAAAGCCTGTTTCATTAAAATTATAGAAATCTCTATTCAAAATACTATATTTTACTTGTATATTCATAATTAATCGAAACCATTCTTTAAAAAGCTTAGGATTCTTATAAAAAGCTTTTTAAAAATCATAAATACAACTAAAACATATTTTTAATTTGATTTAATGTTTTACAAATTAATGTGCCCAAAGCTTTTTAACGCGTTTCATATCCCTCAATTCAAGAATATTATTCATTATATCTTCTATATTCTTTAATTTAAATAGAAATTCTTTTAAATTTATATTAAGTATATATTGAATAATTATCTTTTTTTTTAATTCTATAATTTTATAATAATTCACTCAAATTTTATATAAAAAGGTAAACCTTTTATTCTATATCAAAGAATTATACAAGAAATATTATAAAGTATAATAATCTTTCAAATACTTAATTTTTTATTTTTATAAATAGCTTTAATAATAAAAAGTATACAAACTTTTTAATTATTCAAATTCATTATAGATTGTTGATAAAATATATATTAAAAAAATAGATATAAATTGAGATGAAAGTGGGCTACTTGATGATATAGGCCACTCGATGATAAACCATGTTATATCTTTAATTAGAATTAATATAATCTCAAATATAGATATAGATAAGCTTGATTGATGATAAGTTATTCAAAATTTAATTAATATTAATTAAGAACGAACTTTAGTTGGATTATAAGGGGTTTGAGAGATTTATTAATCTAAATCGAAAAAGAAGAGGGTAGATATATGAATTCGAATATTTAATTTCGAGAATATAGTTTTAGGATTAAATAGGATTAAATTTGTTTTTTGGAATTCTAATTTTATATTCTAAAAGGTAATTGATTTCTTATATATAGTTTTAAAAGTTATAAAGAATTCAATCTTCGAAATATAATTGATATATACTTTAATAAATTTATTAATTTGATTATTATATAAACATTTTAGATTATTAAAATAGTTAATATTAAATGATTGAGTTAAATGATTTAAATATAATAATAAATGTAAATATATAATATCATTCTCTTTATAGTATATTTGAAAAACTATTAATTTGTAATTTTTATACTTATTTAATATTAATATTTGATATTTGTTCTTTCTTCGATTCTTAATATACTTATCGAAATGATTTAATTATTTTAAATCCGTTTTATTATTTGTTTATCTATTAGATATAGGTTTAATAGCTTAATTCGTAGAAAGATTGATTTCGGTGTATTAATTGAAAAAATAAATTTATTCTTAAATTATTAGAAATAGAGGAATAATTTTATCCTTTTTATTTTCATATATTATTACTATAGTTCATTCTTAATTACCTAGTTATACTAATTTGTTTCTATTATGTTTCTCAACATTAATAATAATTATTATTACATATATAATTCTTATTATAAAGTTTGTTTTATTAAAATTGTAGAAATCTCTATTCAAAATACTATATTTCACTTGTATATTCGCAATTAATTGAAACTATTCTTTAAGAAGTTTAGAATCCTTATAAAAAGTTTTTTAAAAATTATAAATATAATTAAAACATATTTTTAATTCTTTATATTGTTTTACGAATCAATACATTCAAAGCTTTCTAATAGCTTTTCCTTCTTTCGATTTGAGAATATGATTTACTATATCTTTCACCTCTTTAAATATAAAAGGAAAACCTTTCAAATTTATATCAAAAATATATGAAATAATTATTTGTTCTTTTATTTTAATAAATTTCAGATTCTATAATCGAGATTCAGTTGTAAAAGTTATTTCATTTATTCTTCGAATAAGTATTATATATATAATATTATATAGCTTAGTAATTTTTTAAATCGAGAGTCTTTTGTCTTTTTTAATAATTTTAATAGCTAAAAGTATTCTCCCTTTTTTATTATTCAATTACATAATAAATAATTAATAAATCGTGTATTAAGATTGAAAAGTATAAATTAAAATAAAAGTAATACATATACTAATATAATGTAGTAGTAGTAGTAATAGTAAATTCATAATTGATTCGGTTTATATAGCTATACTAAGATCATGTGATATGCCTATATATGGTTCTAATTGAATAAGATAGATAGGAAAAGGAAATAAAAACTCACCCTTCCTCAAACTTCTTTATTAAAATTTATAAGCAACTTTTCAAGCAATCCTTTTAAGTCCTTTAAATTGTCTATATTGTAAACCTATTATATTTAAAACTCTTCTTTTTATTAAATCCTTTAATATACTTATAAAAACTTTATACTTTTTATTCTATTATAATAATTCTTTTTTTTCTATTTAATTCCTTTTAAAATATTATAAAAGCTATAGTTAATTATAATATTATATTTTTCTTAAAGGATTATCTTTGTTCTTTAATACTTCAAATTTTTCGAAAATCTTATTATAATTCTTAATCTATTACTTATAAGCTTTATATCTATTTTCTTCTATAATATATTAATAATATATAATTTCTTCTTAAAGCCTAATATCTCTTATTTCTTTTCCTCCTATTGAATTATTCAATTAATATAGAATATAATATATTAGAGCTTATTAAACTATTCTATTAATATAGGGGATAAGATTATATTATAGGACTAGATGATTGAATAAGACTGAAATAATAAATATAATAATATTAGAATACTATTACTTTAATAATATATACTCTATATTGAAAAATCATTACTTTTTCAATCATAATTAATGATATATTGTTTACTATATAAGGTAATATTGAAATCGATATTTTATAATAATATTATATACTAATATAAAATGCTATACATTTGAATCAATATATTATAAATGTTTTTTAAAAGGTCTGGCTTTTCTTTTTATTATATAAAATAGCGATAAATATATTGATAAGATATCAAATGTTATATTGATATATTTCTTATAAAATATTTCTTGAAAAAACCAGGGTTTTTTGAAGAGTTTTTACTTTTCATTTTCCTATATTTAAAAATCTTCTTTTTTATAGTTGAAACCCTTTTATGAGATCTTTGAGTATTAAAAAGCCTAGATTGTTATAAAAATTTATAGTTTGATCTTTTTATTAATTATATTCGATATAGTAAGTTTATTGTTGATAGTGTTAATATTAATTATTTTGATATGAGTATATTGAACTCCTTTTTTCGATGTTAATGATGATATCTTCTCAGTTTAAATAGGTATCAATTCAGTGATTTTGGGAAGGAATAGAGGGTGATATTCTGATTCGAATGTAGTAAAGATTAATGAGTTTTTTCGTGTTTTTTCTAATATAATGTATATTCTAATAAACTACATTAATATTTTTAGTATATAAGATATTATATTAGGGGCCTACGAGCCCTCGAACTTCTTACTTTTTAGACAGTATTACTTAATTTTTAATGTAAATATAGAGTAAATAATAGTAATAAATGAACTAATAGATATATTATAGTATAGAGACGTTTTATTATCCTTTTCTAAATTATGAAAATTTTATTTTTTATAATTATATACGACTTGCTATTAGCTCATAGGAGGCTCGTAATTTCGCGATTTGATCGTAATAGTGAAAGGGTGGCCCAATAGGGGTGACAAGAAAATGAAGAGTTCAACTTACTGAATATTTCAATATCTTACAACTCTAATCTAGTACTTAAATTGAAGTATTTATGAAAATAGATATCAATTATATCTTCAAGATTAAATTCTTCAGAGCTTTTGAAACTATCCTGTTTATATATATATACAGCAAGTTCCCACTCTACTTTCCCGCTCTTTTACTGAAACCCTAAACTCACTCACTAATTTTCAAGCTCTTCCACCCTGCCAGCACCCTCCCCTCTCTTTCGTTACTGTTTCCCTCATTCCTTCTCCCCCTCTCCATTGCCATATAGCTCCCATACACTTGTCTCGCCAGTAAAATCTTCTTCTCAGTCGGCGACAGCGAAGATGTAGCAATGGATTTATACATTCCTAGAAATGGATACGCAAAGAGACCAAACATCCCCGATCCAGGTCCAGTAACTAATCCCATTGCCCCCTTTGCTACACCCTTTCCAAAACCAGCCCAGCCACCTTCTTTCGCGCCTTTGTAGGGTTTGATGATTGTGCCGGATAGGCCATCCATGAATCCGTAGCCAAAATTCTGAAAAGGAAATGTTAGGTTTAAGGAGTCGAGTACTAACGAAGAGAAATAAAAAAGAATAAGAACTACCTTCCCAGCTACAACGCCACCACTTTTCCAATCCTTGACCTTGCCATGATCCCTCACCTCGTCGCCATACAACCTAGGCATATGGTGCAAACCCTCCGTCAAAGCTAATGGAAAATCTACCAGTGTAGCTTTGGGAAGAACAACCGCCATCTTCCCAATCCCTTTTCCGAAAGTCTTAGCTGCTTCTTTGCCACCGCCACCATTCTCTTTGCTTTGAAATGCCTTTGCAGGTCCGGTCAAAACATCGCTGAAGCCAACGGTGAAGTTGGTCAGAGTGCTGAGAAGAACATGGGTTCCAGCTGATACAGGATCCCAACGGATGTTTTCGATCGAGATTGGCTTGGGTTGGTAGCTTGTGTTTGATTAGCGCGTGAAGTTTGATTGAGATGTGAGGCTTTTGCGGGGGAGATCAGGCTTACAGTTTCAAATGCTTGGGGTCGATTTGCTTGTGCTCTACAAGTATGAAAGCAGCTTCATCGCATAGCTTGATGGGCTTTTTTGGTCCCCTCTTGCTGTTGCTACTGTATTGCCATACAGCAGCTTGATCGGAGAGAATATCACAGCCGAGGGCATCTACTGGGAGATTCGTGTGAAAGGATTGTACGGCTGTCTGCACACCATTCTCTTGACTCATCCTCTCTGATATTTCGGTAGCTGCGCTCATCGCTGCGGGGGTTAAACAGTACTGAATTGCTTGTGTGAGATTTTCTTGGGTGAGTGATTTATGATGAAGAGGAAGAGGTCCCGCTCCTGCTGCGGCAATCATCTGCCCCCAAAATGCTTGGCTGCTCGGAATCAATCATCAGTTTGGCATTTCATTCTCGAGCATTGATGAAAAGTTTTAAGGCGTGAAGGAGACATATGAAGGACAGAATATAACTTACTCGCCAAAGAATGGGACAATAGCTGTCGGGCGTCCGTTGAGAAGACCGCATGCTGTAGTACCAGCACCACCGTGATGTACAACACAAGATACGTGCTTGAACAGCCATTCTTGAAGAGAGCCAGTCAGTTCAAGTTCTTCAAATTCACAAAAGATGAATATCAATCTCACCGTGAGGGCAATCGCCTAGAAATAAGATATCTGGGTTCGCAGATTCGCTCACGCTAGAACCAAGCTTACTCCAACCACGGGAAATAATCGCTCTTGTCCCGCAAGCTCGGACAGCTTCTATCAGAATATTTGTCAACCTCTCTGGGTTGTCAATAACAATGCTACCGAAACCAATATATACAGGCGGTGGACCACTTCTCAAGAAATTGTTTAATTCCGCATTAGGTGTATAATTTGGTTCTTCTCTAAAGAAGAAACCGCACACGTCTGGATTGTGTTAGTCTTCTAAAAGCACATGGAAGTGTGGCTTACCAAGATAATTTGACCAGTCAGCTGGCTTTGGAACAAATGCAGGTGACCAGCAGTAGGTAAAGGGGATTTGAAGGGTGTCACAAAGTAGAGGACCCATTGTTGCTTTTATTGGGTCAAGACTCAGTGATTTTTTGCGCCACAGATTTATGATATCTGAAAGTCTAAGCACTCATTAGCACACCTCCCAACTTTTGTGCTTCGTCAAGTGTCTTACCCTTGCCAAGTCACGATCTCCACAAGCGCATATGACAGGTAATTCGTGGTCCGTAAATCTGCATCTGACCGTTCAATATTGGCCAGAGGATGAGGAAATGCCCTTGTAGGGCTCCAAGGCATTGTGAACATTAAGTGTAAGGGAATGCCCAAAGCTTCTGCGCAATGCACATGGGCAAAACTTGGTGGGTTGGCGATTATTGCTTCCGCAACGAACGGTATATTTGTTTCCGGATCTGGCTCGATGCAGGATCTCCAGCAACCCTCAAGCATGGTATATACCATCTTGCGTTTCTGCGAGATCTCGCCACTCATGATCGTTTCGAATTTGGGGATTATACCTGGATTTTTGACCATGTACTGTGAAATATTAGTATAGAAGAGTTAGGCATAGATAGAACTCGCGTACGGCCATGAGTGATGCTGGGTCTCCACCGATAGGGAAAAACTCTAAATTGGTTGCTTTTACAAAATCTCGGAACACATCGTGGGTTGCAATTCTCACACGATGCCCTGATGCTCGTAATGCGCTTCCCAAAGCTATAAATGGTTGAATGTCGCCTTTGAAGATTTAGCCACCGATATGTAATGAGTATAGAGATAACAATACAACTCACCTCTGCTACCGACGATTTGAATCACGATATTTAGAGGAGGAGATCTGGAATTGGCGATATTGGGTGGGGTATAAGCCTTTGGCTCTGCTGGAATTGAAAAGGGTAGCTTCTTAGTGGCGGCGAAATTGATGGAAACTCTCCCATCATCTGAGAAGAGGTCGAAGTCAGTCATGGGGGTTGTTTCCAAACCTTTCTACTAAATCAAATAATTGGAACAGACGACTTCTCTCTACCTTGAACAACAGCACTCGTCTCAACGTTTGGACCAGACCCATGAAATTCGTAGGCAGGCGGCGCATCCCAATCAAGGTCTTGTGTATCGTGTGAAGCATTGTCGGCCTCGTGCCAGCTGCCATTGGCAATAACTCCTTCGCTATCGCCATACTGATTTAGTGGTGCCTGTTCATCGTTTTTGCGATCACGCTTTTCTCTACCTTTTCCCTTCTCCATGATAAATAGCTTGGAATGATTTCACAAGCTGCGCCGGTAACAATGAGGCTCACGGATGCAGTTTTGGAATATATGATTTGATGTATGAATATTTGCGGCGCTACAAATACCTCTGAGTAGATGGAGCAGTGTAGATAAGAGAACCTGAGTTTCGAGCACACTCAAAAAGATCCTATGTAATGTTGCCACGGACGCGGGCGGTCAGACTTGGGTAGCGTCTGTGGCAGAATCTTTGGTCCAAGTGTTCTATCTTAGGTTAAATTATTGATAGTGGTAATCGAATCTTGATGTGGCATCGTGTGATTGTGTTTTTTACAGCACCGAGAATCCTGTTCATTCTTTTATTTGAAGATAGCCATGACTGAAACTCAATTTCAGGCGATTCGTGGCTGTCGAGGCTGTGTTTTACAAAACCTTCCCCTGTTTGAGTTCACCCTATTACGTGTTTCGTATTCGGTAGTAAAATCGGATCACATTGGAAATTCGAAGCTTGATACGAATGCAAATGGAAATGCGAATGGCGATCAGTGGACCACATATATGAGGGCGCACGGACCCTCACTTACACATGCATGACATGATCGGTGTTATGAACCGGACTCAATCGTACTCGGCGTCGTTTTGAATAAATGCCGGCCTAGATTTAGCTAGTAAGTCGGGTACCCTACTTTCGGGCCACCCCCCTTTTGGGCCACTTTTTACACCAAAAATGGAATTTTTAACTTTCTTATTTATGGATAGAATTAACTGAAAATTGATATATATATAATTTAGATCATTTTTAGCTTACCTTGAAAATTTCAGATTTTTAGGAATTTTCTGTATTGAGATCTAGAGCTTTAAAATATCGATTCTTAAATTTGTATGGGAATCATATACAAATTTGAAACTTTTATAAAATCTTTAATAACTTTTTAATAAAAATTACTAAAAATAAACTAAAAAGTTTTATTATTAGTTTATAGTATATTTATTTTGAAAAATTAAAAAAGAATAGAAAACTTCTTATAAATAGATATTTAGAAGGATATTCTTAAGATTATAGAAATTATTTATGTTGGGCAGACTTGATAAGATATATATACATAATATGTATAAGTAAATAGATTGTTTATTTCTGTCTATTCTCTTTATATAAAGAGGGAATTACTATATCTATATATGTATACTACCCCTATTTATACACTTCATACGTATATGGGGTAAAGCATAACATGTAATGTCATATTGTTGGTCACGTGTTCCGACAATTTATACTACTTTAAACTTATTATATATTATATCTGTATATTTTTTAATTTTTTTTAATTTCTTTTTAAATTTCTATATAGATTTAAGTTCAAAGCTTTTAAAAATATATATAATTTTCTTTTAATAATTGTTATTAAAAAGTTATAAAAGATTTTATAAAAGTTCTAAATTTGTATATAATTCTCATATAAATCAAAAAATCGATATTTTGAAGCTTTAGATTTTAATACAGAAAAATCCTAAAAATCTAAAAATTTCAAAATAGACTCAAAACAATCTGAATTATATATATATAAATTTTCAATAAATTCTATCTATAAACAAGAAAGTTAAAATTTTCATTTTTTAAGATTTTTGATGGTAAAGAGTGGCCCAAAACAGGAATGGCCCGAAAGTAGGGTACCCGACTTAATTCAGAGTACATCTAGTCTAGGAATGAGTAGATTATATAATTCTATAATACAACGTTTTTTTTAGACTTATGAAATATTACGTCAAGACCATTCACGTGATTAGTCAACTAATCAGATCAATGAAATGAATGAAAGTAAGTCGAGGAAGTCCTGTTTTTCATTTCGTATTTCATTCAAATTCATAACTATGACTTCTTTAGTTACGCTTTATATATTATATGATACTAAATATCAATGTTATATGATTTATATTTGAATTTGAGCAATATTAGATATTGTAATGAGGTGATGATTATCACACTTATAATAATTATAAATCGCCTAATCCTAATCTAGCCCCTTGTATCTTACTTCATTCTAGTACTAATATTATAGATATCTATTATTCCTTCGTTGAATTATAGATTGACTATATAGGCTTGTCGTAGTCGTGCGGCCAGAAAGTATATAACACTCCACCTAATAACGGGCCACTAATCACCTTGTATATTATCACTGTATGAGACGTGCCTGTGAGTAGAGTGTGGTATACTTTCTGATCGCACGGATAGGTTAAGCTTATAGTCCTTGGATTTAAGGTTTACTATTATTAACTTTCCAACTGAACGGCAAGGCTCCGGCTCTTGACATCTCCGGGACTCACCCGGATGACTAATTGTATCCTGCGATGACGTCAACATAAATTTTATCTTTTAACTTATTCTATAAATACAGATACTAAAGATGAATTACACTATGTATATAAAATTTTCTTAAGTCATTTATTATATTATTAGATTATAGAATCAATCGATATCTCTATACTATATACAGCTCTATATTATAGATATTTCTTTTTTAAATTCCATTAACGTTGTATTCTATTTATATTATTAATACACTTTTCAATGATTTTTTAAAGTTATTCTTGTAGACCTCTCTTATTAAATGAATAAATATATTAAAAATAAAATTATAATTTCATATTGATATATAATATGAATAACTCATATTAAATCAGATTATAAAGAGAATTAAGTTAGATATCTCTATATGAAAATTTATTAAAGAGATATTTATAGTGATTTCTTATAACTCTATAGATCATTAATAAGTTGTTTTAATATCCAATAAAATTATAGTATTAAAGTTCTAAAACAATTATTGAGAATATTATTCTTAGATTATTACGCTTTTAAAAAATCTCATAATAACACCTATTAAACGAAAAGGAAGATTTTAAAGAAACTTTATTCTTTTTATAATATATTTTTAGATCTATATAGTACTCTGATATATTAATTAGTGATTTTAATTATATTATACTTGAAAATATCTAAGTATATGAATATTAATCATTAGGATCTAGTGAATAGCTTTAATTTATTAAATATTGTATTATAGTTATAAGCGAATGCAGAATATAGTAAGTCCTAAGCGAAAGCGAAAGAGACTAGCTCTTCTTATAGCGTCTATATAAGGCCTAAAACTTTCTATACTTAGCTAGCTCTTTAGATAGAATACAATATAGACATTTAGGATCTACGAATATCGTAGGTACTACGTCTTTCGTATTCTTCTCGAATCAATACTAGGCTATCTCTCTATTTTTTTTAAATTGTAAAAGACGTTTATAATTATCTTTATATCAAATTCTAGTATAAAAATATTTAAGTCGATTTCTTAAGAACTTATTTACTATAAGATACATCGAAAAAATATATAACTAATCATCTTTTATAAATAAATAATAACTAAAGTAATTAAAAGTCAAAAATATCGATTTTAAAGATTTTAATAAGAATAATTTTATAGTAAATATAATATAATTAGCTATATAAAAAATTGAAAATTAATTATTTAAATAAAGATTTTAATTCTTAATAGTTTAAGAATAATGTAGATGAGATGATATTATTAATACTAGATTCTAAATATAAATATTATATTCTATTTGATGAGATAGCTATCTAACTAAGAAATAATTCTTATTTACTTTAAGCTAGTCTTCTCGCTCAGTATACTATAGTAGTCTAATGTCTTAAGGTTATTCGTCTACATTCATATGACTTTAAACTTAAAATATTATAGATATTGATTTTTAATATTATATAATCTAGAAGTTTCTTTATTTTTTTGATTTGAAAGTTTTTTTTAAATTGAATAACATTTAGAATATAATTTTCCTTTTAGTCTTAATAATTTTTAATGAAAAGTAAATTTTCGTTTGTTTTAAATTAATCGTACTAATTTTTTTATTCGAATATTTAATATGTATATAAGATAAATATAAGACATTATTATATATTGTTAGAATTAATTTAAGTAAAATTCTCTTTATAATTAAGAATTAAAAGTCCTAGGAATTCTTAAAGATTTATATTATTATTTTTGTTTTCATAAATTTACTTGGAAACTTCTAAAAAATTTATAAAATTTAAAATTTATTTTTATACTTTTAGAACCTCGATTATATTAGAATTAAAGAAAACCTATGTCGGGATAGAGATCATGTGACTGCGCTAGCGTTAGCGCTAGCGCCTTTCGATACTATAGTAAATACGTTTCGTAGTCCTAGCTTTTAGAATCTTAAGTAATATTACAATAGTATAAATCATAGTACTATATTAACTTTATTATCCTCATGATGATATTAATAGTCTATTAAATAATTTCATGATACGTTTTAACTCAATATTTCTAAGCATCTGTATTTTTCTATCTCTATTATATTTTCATGAAATTAAGATTTTGAAAGTTTATTATAATAGTTGATTTTATTTTAATACGTAACATGCGACATTATAATAAATCATTATCTTATATAATATTATTAGTAATAACAGTAATAATAATAGTAATAATTCTATTTTAAATTATATCACTTATTTAAATAGTATAATTATAGAATATAGATAGACTAAATCGATTAAGAATTTACTACTACTAATTATAGAATAGTATTCTTTATAAGAAGGAAGAGTTAAACAAATAAATATAATCTCTTTTAACTTATATATTTTATATATACATCTCAGAAAGTCTATTCATTGAATTTATTAATCGATTTCTTAATAACTTAACTTATAAGATACTCGAATATATAAGAAATACGAATAAGTACTTTTATATTAAAATTTTAATATAAAGATATTTAGAGCGACTTTTTATAGCTCTATATGTCACGATATACACGTGATCGCGTCCGATCGGGCTAGTACGACACTAAGCTTCGAGCCGATCGCATATATAGCTCTGTAGCACACTATCTTTAGTTCTATAGCTTTTAATTCTAAGGTTGATCTTTAAACGTGTGTTAGGTTCGTCACACTATAAATACTAGAGATGAAGTTTAAATATTTCGAAGTATAATATAATTAATATCAATATTTAATATAATAAAATATTATAAAGACATGAGAATATTTAATAAAGATAATAAAGTTTCTTTTAAATTTTTGTCTTGAATTAACAAAAATTACTATGAGAATTTTTAAAATCGTATCAATTCAAGAAGAAAATACTTAATAGTTTTCTTTTAACTTTCATACTATACTTTTATTCTATATTAAATCTAGATTATCTTTAATATTTACAGAGTTATAAGAACTTCTTATGAGTACTTTTATATTATAAAAATTAATCTAAAGATATCTATTCGAGTTCTCTATATGTTTGAGTACTTTATAATTAAGTTACATTACAATATAATCTATTTAAAAAATGTATAAGATATAGGGATGCTGATTATTCGTTCAATTAACGGTCTGAAATTCTAGAATTTTCCTTATAAACTTCCCCAGCTATTGGGGCAGAAATCCTAGAGTGGTGAGACTCAATTCAAATCCTTTTTAGTACTGTATACGGAGGTTTATACCGCCTTCGTAAGCTATGATCAATTTGTGCAGACAGAATGATTCTATTGGTTGTAAAACAAAAGCGGTGTAACGCAACTTAATTCATATTCCTGCTAACGTTACGTATAAGTTAATAAATAATCTCGATCCTATATCTTCACCTCTCAAAAGTTCTAGCACAGAAAGGGGAAGCTAACCAGTGGAACATCGAAATTTCATAACATTCATTCTTCAAAGGAAATGACCAGTCAGGGAAGCACAAACAAGAAACTTGGATCGTTTACGTCAATACAGAAGGTCTTCTGCACGAAGTACTTCGTACATTTCCCACTTATCTAGCCTTCGATGTCTGTCTGAACAAACCACATTTCAATCATTACAGGAGAAAAAGGATAAACTGGATTGATTTGTTGATTAGTACCCTACATGAAGTGAAGTATTCTAGTACCCCTCCATATTGACGCTAAAGTTTGATTTTTTGAGCATATACGGAGTTTTTTGTTCTAATGGTTAGCGTTCCATTGCGTATTCCGTATTTTGGGTAACCTGTCGATGGCTTCGTATAGCAGTTAATATCGGCTTCCTGCAGTCCCCAGAAAAGTGGAAATGACAAGATTTTATGGATACTATGATGTTCGCTGGTCTTCGAAGGGCCGTAGAATCTCCACGGCAGTTGTGACACAGCCCACGAATTTTTCCTACTTAGACCTATAAAACCCAGCAATGTTAGGACGGTAGTAACTCATCACTTACATCGAGTATTAAGTGACGGAAAGCATTTCATCAAGCAAAACCATGAAGACCACATCACTCATCCTAGCGCTTCTCGCCGCTGCTGAAGCCGTCAACATCCCCAGCACTGGAACTACCTCGCTGAGGGAGGAAGCGGCCAGGAAAGATCTTCTAATCGGGTCCGGGGCGATCAATCCGACTTACCTCGATGATCCCCAGTTCGCAGCCGTCCTCGCCCTGCAGTTCAACAGCCTTTCTCCCCAGAACGAAGGGAAATGGTCATCCTTCAACCCGGCCGCTGGCCAATATAACTGGACCTCGCTCGACCGCCTCGTTGATTTCGCGGAAAAGAATGATATGGTGGTCAAGGGTCACGGACTTATCTCGGGCTGCTGTAACCCCGACTACGTGCTCAACATCACCGATCCCAAGGCCCTTCGTGCTGTAATGACAGCTCACTTCGAAGCGTTCATGCAACGCTACGACAGCAAGAGGGTAGATCGGTGGGACGTTGTGACCGAGCCCCTCGAAACAGAGGGTGGCGGCCTCCAAGCCAACTTCTTCTATAATGTACTTGGTTCCAGCTACATCGCAGATGCCTTCCACATTGCTCGAGCAGCTGGGCCAAACGCCAAGCTGTTCCTCAACGAGAATCTCGACGCGCTATTCCCTTCCAAGCGTCAGGAACTCTACGACCTGGTCTCCGGACTCGTGGCAGACGGCGTTCCAATCGACGGTGTTGCCTTAGAGACACATATAACCGAAATCGCCCCAAAGCCAGGCATGCTCACGGACATAGTCAACTCCTACAAGGCACTGGGACTGGAAGTGACAATCTCTGAAATGGATGTGCACACGCTCAACAACACACTCGAGACCGATATCTACGGCGCCGTTGTAAAGGAGGCTCTCGAAGCAGGGATCACCGACATTAGCTTTTGGGGCTTCACGGATAAGCACCTCTACACCTGGATACCGGGCGCAAAGCCATTGATGTTTACAGAAACTTACGAGCCCAAGACTGAGTTCTACGCAACTCACACGAGCCTAGCAAGCTTTGTCAACGCGTCTTAGGGATTTTGAGCACTGTCAAGTCCTTCGAGATTGTGCTTTACACAATGACCATCATAGCACCGATGAGTTAGCCTCGTCTTCAATAGGAAGTAACTCCTGGATAAAATCTTTATAGTTAATTCAACATTTCAATATAGAGTACTTAATATTCAAAGGGATTAAACTCGTTATAATGACATATATATTCTCGTGATCTGGAATCCCCTGCGTTTCAGGAATGAATTTTAAAAGTGATTTGTAACCCTAGGTAAGAATATTAGTATAACTGAATATAAGCTTAAGATATGAAAATAAAATTGAGAGTTTTTGAGCTTAAATTATAGATTAAGATGGGTTTAGAAGACTGAATCTCAAAGGTTAGTTCTAGAATAATAGTAATAGAATTAATATTCTAATAGTAGTAGAAGTATTGGGCAGACTTGGTAAGATGTGTATATACAATATGTATAGATAAAAGATTGTTTATTTCTGTCTACCCTCTTTGTATGAAAAGGGAATTGTTATATTTATATATGTGTACTACCCCCACTTACGTACTTTATGCGTATGTGGGGTAAAGCGTGACATGTAATGTCACGTTGTTGGTCACGTGTTCCGACAGCAAGACTTAGTGTAAATGAGTAGAACGATAATATGATTATAGAATAAGCCTTTGTATATATCATAGAAATGTTATTGTGAGAGTAACGTCTGGTGAAGGAGAGAGGAGAGAGGCTTTAAAAGGTGTATAATGTAATATTTAGAGGGTATAATAGAATGAGTAGGAACTAATTACTTTTTCTAAACTATATAATGAAGGACTATAACTACTAGCTGTAAGAAATGTCATGTGATCTGTACGTGATTTTCCGCACACTTTAATTACTTTAAGCTTATGAATTAATTGAATATGTAATATAATAATTAAATTAAGGTCAAATTATAAAAAGGAGCTTGATGGAATTGAATTCTCTTGCCTTCTCTAGGTTTTCCTTTAAGAATATCCTAGGTTTATATAGTTTATAATGATATTCTAGTACTTTCTATACTTTTAAGTTAAATTGATTTAAATTGAATCTTATAGAAATATTTATATTATAGAAAGAATTTATAATTAGTCAGCTTAGTCGATTTTATTAATAGTATTTTATATGATCTAATCTCATTTTGTTGTTTTATACATTAATTTAATAAGGAATATATTAGTATATTAATATAATAATATAAGTTTATGATGTTATAATTTTATAATAGTAGTAGTAAAGTCTTAATTAATTTAATCTATCTATAGCTAAGCTATACTAATTGTATAATATATCTATATATAGTTAATTAGATAAAGTAAATAGAAAAAAATAATAAAAACCTATTCTCTTTTAAAGCCTATTCGAGTCTATTATTATAAAATCTTATTATATTATAAAACCTTTAATCTTCTTATTTATTTTAACTCCTAACTATCTTCTACTTAATATTAATTATTTATTTGATATTAACTCTAAATTAGAGGTTTTAGAGTTCTATATATGCATATAATTATAATATAGAGCTTTGTACTTAAAACAATTATTAGTTTTATATTATAATTATAAGAATTGTAAATAATTATAATCTTATTGAATTCCTATTTAAAATTTAATTTAAATTATATCAAAAATCTTTAAATATTTCTATATAATTTTAAAAACAACTTTTGTAATACTTTAAGTATTTTATTTGTTTTAAGTATTAATTCAATATTAATTGTTAATATAATAGTTAATAATTCTTTTAAAAGTTAATAGGTTTTAGTAAGTAACTTTAATAATATCAAAATAATTAATACTTTTAAAAAGATTATTATTAATAAAATATTTAAGATTGTTTTATTAAACAAATATTAAAGAAATTGATAAGAACTCGATATCTTTTTATTATAATTTGAAATTTATTTTAAATTTAATTAAAATAAGTTTATTAAAAAGGAATTTAAGAGTATATAAACTATATTATATTTTAAAGGTAAGGTAGGAAAATAGATTTAGTTATATTTATATAATTATTTCGAGTATAATAATAAAGAATATATATAATTTATAAGAATTATTTTCAAAAGTTTCAAAGAATTCAAGATAAAGATTTATAGGATCTTTGAAAACTTTAATAAGTTAGAGGTAATAAAAGAAAAGATCTTTAATTTTAAATAAATAGAATTAGTATTAAAGTATATTATAAAGTTTTGAAAATATATAGGAATAATTAAATGGGATAGTATCGTTATTATAAATTATTATTATAAAGAATTTAAATTAGAAATACATTTGAAATTTGATAAAAAAGGGGAGAATAATGATTTAAACAAATTAATTAAAAGTTTTATTAATATTAATAATCATTTATATAAATATAAACAAATCTAATAATTATATAAATCTTAGATAAATTATAAGTAAAAAATATTATTATAAAAATAAAAATAAATTATATTATAATATATAAAAATATGGGGATTTTATAAAATTGAATATTATATATTATAAAAAGGAGAATAATAATTCAGAAAAGAAATAAAGATGAGAAAATAACTTATATTTTAAATATAAAAAGTAAGGTATTAAATAGTAGATTATTAAAATAAGAAAATAAAAGGTAAGAAGGATAACTTTAAGAATAAGTTTAATAAAAATCAATTTAATATTATCTTTATATTATAATTATATATTATTAATAGAATAGAATTAAATATATTATTAATAATTTATAAGGAAAAGTTTAAAAAGAATTTTGAAAATGATTTTGTTAGGCAGACTTGGTAAGGTGTATATATATAATATGTATAGGTAAAAGGATTGTTTGTTTTTGTTTATTATTTTTATATAAAAAGGGAATTATTATATCTATATATATGTATTACTTTTATTTATATACTTTATATATATATAGGATAAAGTATAATATGTAATATTATATTGTTAATTATATGTTTTGATATAGGCTTAACTTTCTTTTTTATATAAATAGAATTCGTACGAATCAGACTAACATTTAGAACTTATAATAAGCAGCTACCTTATCACTTAATCTAATCCCTGTTTTTTATAATAAATCAAATGAGTATAATAAACTTTGTTTTAAATTAATCAAATGTTGTATTAAAAAACCATTAAAATTATCGAAATCTAAATCATTTTATTATATATATATTCTTCGACTATATCAAATAATATACCTAAATCTAATATTATATTAATTCTTTTGAAATTATAAAAAATTCGAATTTAATTAATTATTTGAAATGTATATTAGTTTTTATTAAGATATAAGTAGTTTGTATTATTAATTACTCTATACTTATTATTAGTTTTGTATTATATATAATATATTAATATTTTCGTATAAATAGGATTCTTTAATTGTATAATATAGTAAATATAGTGACAAATCCAAATCCAAATCCTGTTCTTTTTATTAATAAGCAAGTTCTTGTATTATATTGTTACAATAATCTTCAACTCATTCTTTTAATAATATTGAATAATCCTGTTTTATATATATACAATCGAATTATATCTATACAAATTTGTATAATGTAAATATTATATATAAATGACTTGTTAATATAAAGTTATAGGATTCTTATTGAGGGTTTTTATAAGAAATATTATTATTATAGTTTTATACTCTTTTTGAATTGTTATTATATATAGGAATATTTTGATAATAATTATAGGAATTACAAATAAAAAGATTATAAGATTTGATATATACAATTCAATTATCCATATCCTTATATCACTAATAAATAATACCAACCTTCATTTCCTCCTTATACTTCTCCTAATTAAAATTCTACTCCTCCTTTATTAATCAATTTAAAAACTCCTAATACTCATAAACACTCTCTTTTACTTAATTCTAATTCTATTAAAAAATCATTTGTTATTAATTAATTCGTACATTCCTTTTATTATTACATAATCTTTATATTTTCTTTATATTTTTTTAATTTAGAATTATATTATTTATTAAAAACTTTTAAAAAAGGAAAAATAACTATAAAAAAAATAAAAAATATTATTAACTCCATTCCAAATTATCATTTGCATTTGTATAAAGATTTAATTAATATTTATACAAATATCTTATTTCATCTACCCTACCCCTTATGCGAGGGCCCTTTCATGGCATAAAAGGAGGGCACGGCCGTTATTTGTCTGGGAACATAACCCCAAGACCCCACACGACCCCCACATGATTTTATAAAAGGGATTTCACAAAAGGGGATTTCTTGGGTTCCTCATCCCCGCCTCCCATCCCGATCTTGCAACCGTAGAACGTCTCGTTGCCATTCCGCATGGCCTGCGACCTCGCATACAACTCTGACCACCAGGTTCTGATCTGCACACAGTGCCAGACGTGCATCGCTCCAGGGGCCCGAAGTATCGCGCAACACCTCCGAGCCGAACCCCACCGCCTGTCAGGTGATCTTTTGAAAGCTCAACTGAGCTACGCTCAATCGTTAAGTCTGAAGACGAAGCGTCAATTGCGAGAAGACAAACCTGCGCGTAGGGCTGCGCAGTTAGAGCATCTCAGAGTCTTCCACGGCTTTCAGTGTTTATCATGCGATCCATCCTTTTTAACCACTCACCTCCCACGAATGCGGGATCACATGGTGACTCATGGCCGGAAAGCGAGCGAGCACAAAGCGACCCCGCTATGGCAGGCATGCTTACTCCAAACGTACTTTACTGCACCGAGGTATGTTGATTACTTTGTGGTTGTTGCAAATCCTGGGCCCCATGGTGGAAATGGCGATGTGATCCCTTTAACCCGGTCGGAGAAGGATTCCATTGATCAGATTGAGCAAGATGCGTTGAATGTCAAAAAGGATCTCTTCAAGGCAGCTGGCGTCGTTCGGGACATTAAGGAATCTCGCTCCGAGAGGGTACCGTGGTTGCACGACGTCACCAAGTTCCCTTTTCACTTAGTTCATTTAAAAGACGAGGAGATTTGGGCTTCGTATAAGCTCCCATCGAAGAAGG